CTGAGTTGATTGTGAAAAGTAATGATGATTCTGTAACCAAGCAGGAAGATTCAGATCCTGATGACAAACAGGAAATATGTGCTCCTTTGGGTGAGAAGGAAGGACTCTTACCTGAAATGGAGGAGAGTGACTCTTCCTTACAAACCCTGCAATCAGAAATACATGTTCCTTTGGACTCCCAACCTCAGCAAGATGACACAGACTTCAACCCCATTGGGAACAGAAGAAAACTGGGGTCTAGCCGAAGAAATAAAGGAAGACAGAAGGTTAAGGAGTCTGTTGCAGAATCATACCACATACCTACAGAGGAAGTTGTTGGAAATACCAGGGATAAGGAACCCCTTGAAATATCCAAACTGGCTTTAACAATGGAAACAGCAGTGCTGGAAACGAGTTCATATTTAAATTCAGGTTCAAAAGGAGATCAACAGCTCATCGACCAATCAAAATCCATGGAGATGCCAGAAGAACTCCCAAATGTGGATTCTGTAACAGAAAAAGAAAACAAGGAAAAAGACAAGGAGACAGAATTGTTAAGACAAGATGGAAATTTACAGATCACAAAAAACACACAAAACTATTTGGTGAGTGAGTCACATTTCAAATCAGACGATATAGTGTACACTGAAATTGAACACAGCATTGAGCAAGCAGTAATTTCCTCATCAAATGAGGAACAAATAGAGCATGTAGACGTATGTCACATCAGAGGAGCTCTGCATTCAGAAGATGTTGTAAATGAAGTGCATGAAGAGACAGTCACAACAACGCAAATTCAAGAAATGCATCAAATTGATTTCTCTTCAGTTAAGGAGAGTGAATGTTCTTTACAAACCCTGCAATCAGAAACAAATGCTCCTTTGGACTGCAATCCCCTGGACAATTCTGTGAGAATGGAAGAAAAAATCCACACAGGCCTCAACCCTATTGGGAACAGAAGAAAACTAGGATCTAGTCGAAGGAATAAAGGACGACAACAGGTTAAGGAATCTATTTCTGAATCATACCATGAACAGAAAGAAGAAGCTATAGAAGGTAATGTGGGTGATGAAACCCTTGAAACAACAAAAATGTCATTAGCAGCATCGACAACTAGGCATGAAGAGTTAAAAGAGGAAACTGATCAAGACCTCAAACCGGCTCCAAAAGTAAGAAAAATTAGATCTTTGATTAATGAAGAGAACACTGAAAAGATGCCAGAGGAAGCCACAGTTTTGTCACAGAATGTAATGGACAACAGTACAATTGTGACAACAGACATTACTTCAAGCTCAGGCAAAAAGGGCTCTGTCAAATCCAATGAGAGCGTCTATGAGGAGGAAAAGAATCTCATAAAACAGCCTGTGAATTTAAGTCAGTTTACAGGATATCACACAGTTAAAACTGACTTGATACAATCACCAGAGGATGATTCAGACATACAGAATATCTCATATTATGATGACAATGTCACAAGGTCAATTACTTTGGATGTTCTTGAGCAAGAAGATGCCTATCATGTCCAAAAGACAGAAGCTTTATCTTGTGACAAAGACTCACTGGGACAAGAAAGTAATATGCAGCAGACACATGGTACAATAGGAACTGTGGGAGATGTCACGATCAAAGACTATACAGAAGCGGAGAGTTTAATAGATGTGAAACTTTCTGGACAGGAAATTGGAGAAGAATTGGATGATCCGACAAAGAAAGACCGTGAAGTCCAAGAAATGAATGCTTCACAAGAGATCACTCATCCTGAACTGTTGTCTGCTGCATACAACAAAAACACCGTGGCTCCAATTGACATTGGTCTCGAGGAAAATGTCAAAGCAGATGCAGGAAAATCCAACCAGAAGAGGAGAAAGATGGGCTCTACTCGCCGGACTCAACTCCATAGGACACCAGAGGAAGGAATGGACAACAAAGATGAAACAAAAGAAAGCGACTTTAACATCGAAGCTGAGATGAAAATTTTGGACAAAATGGAAATTGTGGCGGAGATACCAATGATTGTAACTACAGAGGAATCACAAAATGAAAATGCAAAACCGTCACCGAGTCCTGTGTATAAAGAACAACAGGAAACTATTGAACCCGGAGCCGTTCACAACAACCTACGAAGCAGTACCTCTGACCTGCAGAGTATACAGAGTGATGTGATATCAGACATAGATGAATTTAAGGCTCCCATTCCTGGGCAGTCAGCCTCCCACAATGAAGAAGTTGTTAATCCTGTTGTTCAGGTATCTGATATAAACAATACAAACACTGGTATGACGGGGGAGAGCTTTGTGTCTTTAAGTGAAACCACACAGGGTACACAAAATGATGAGGAAAGACCAGTAAACACAGTAGATTTGGAAACAGTGAAATCTGTAGTCAGAGGAGGAGGTGCAGAGGAGCACAAGAATGCCCAGGCTAGTATACAAGAGCCAAACAACGTGAATGAAGGAGCTCCCAATATTAATCTCGATATGAAGAATGCAAGTCCCAATTTAAATTCAAGCAGCAGGAGAAGAAAGATGGGCTCCACCCGCAAGAATCTCGGATCACGAAGCAAAAGGGAAGACTTGAATCAAAAGCAGGAGTTGGATAATGAGGCATCAGAAACCGCAACAAATGTTGGAGATGTAAAGACTGAAAATTTCCCAGGCATCAAACAAGAGCTACAACTTCACATAGAAGACAAAGACAGTGATTCAGAACAAAGGAAAGAAAAAGTATTCGAAACAGTGGAGTACAGCCAGACCGCTGAGTCTCACTTCAAACCCCCATCTCACCAGACATTTGAGGAAAATCCTGTTTCTCATGACCAACTAGTAGAAACAGAGCATCAGCTAACTCCCAATTATCCCCCTATAATGCCATCCACTTCTCCTAAACATGACATAATGTCAGAATTAGCATCTGGTGGCAGAAGAAGAAAAATGGGATCTCACCGGAAGTCACGTGGACACCAAAACAATGAAAACCAAACTGGAAGAGGGGACAGATTACCAGATACACAAAATGGAAGAGATGAAAGTGTCATCAAGACAACTGAAGAAGAATCTTTTGGCCTGGACAAAATAACAGAGGTAAGCAGTATTTTTTTTTTTTGTTTAATTGTTTATTTTTTACAATCAAAGAATTCCTCCTGGGAATCTTCAGCTATGATTGATTGCCACATTGTTCTTAAGCTGATGAGCAAATAGTTGTTTGCACTACATTTCAGTTAGCTTATTACTTATGACCAGTGTACTTTCTAAACATTGTGCACCTTTATTGTATTTATAATTCTGGGCCTTTAGCCTGACGCAGATGGTGGATTAGTGGATAATTCTTAGTGTTCTTTGGCACAGTGAGTCTATGTTGTGCTGTACTTCCTATTTGCTTAAAGCCTCTTGTACATTGGTTAAGTGTTTGTTTGTTGCAAGAAGAACAAAATGACACAAGGAACCAAAATGAGGAACATGTGGTTCACACTACACGTTTCACATGATGAAAAGGAGAACATAAACACGTATCTGACTTCTTGATCTGTATGGTGGTGTCCACACATAGGCCTCACTGACAGCCAGTCACAAAGCTATGGCAAATAAGATACCTGAAAGCATAGCATAGATCTGTAATTGTTGACTTCTAAGAGCTAAAACAATTGAAGATTACACTCATCATTTGACAAACCAAAAGAAAACCATATGTATGCTGCATATCAAAATGTCATAATAACAATCATTGTAGAATCTCCCCAACTGTCACCTCAAGACTGAGATGTTTTTGTCTGTGCAGGTTGATGAAAGTGACAAGAAAGCATCATCTAACATCACCTCAATGGCAGGAGAGCATTCAAGGCCTGTGAGGTAAGTCCAACACTGAATTACAGAACAGATATAAACGCATAGTAAAGTGTTGATCTACCTGGCTGGGTTTGTATCACAAAATAGTTTGTCAGTAAAATTATCTGTTACAGCTTAATTAATTGAATTAAGTACATTGGATCCTATTGGCTATATACAGCAATGAACCACCCACTATAATCTCAGCCATCATATAATCATAAAAGGTCTATTTTCTTATGTTAACTGCACAAGATAATCAGAATCAGTAAACAATTACTATATCAAGAGTTCTGTGACAGCACGTACTACTCATTAAGTCCTATTGTAATTCTGCATTAGTTTTTAATCTATTCTGGATACTTACTTACTTACTTTATGTGTTAACATTTAGAACAAAGACCTTTAATATCCGTTCCAAATGAAACATATTAATTAAACTGATGAAGATGTTTTACCACTCATCTATGTGACTCATCCTTAGAGGCTAAGCTTTTGACTCATGCAGACCTTATGTCTGCACTAATCCTCCTGTACATAGTGTAGTACCGACAGCATGTAGAATAAACAGGTTTGTTTTCTCTGGCTGAACTTTTTAACAAGTGACTAATAGAGGACAGACAAAGGCCTGTACTTTTAAAGAGTGTAAAACATCTGACTCAGCTTTAAAACACTTTACAAATGATCACAATTCGGTTTAAAATGCTCCAAATTCTTCTAAGATGTACACCACACACCAAATGTCAGTCAAATATTTTTCCTTTCATGTAGTTTTTTTTTTTTTTTTTCAAATATAAACTTGTGGCTATAATGTGTACAGTTTAGTTGATGCATCTCTCAAAGAAATGCAAACATTCGGTGGGGAATTCTGATGACCGACAACTAAAAACTTGCAGAATGCTGAATATGACTAACTTTTAGTATGTCACTGTATATGCTGTGTTTTGTTTGAACTATGGTGGGTTGTGTGCTCCACAGTGAGAAGACTCCTGAACGAGTGAATCCGGTTCGACATCCTAACACTGGAATCCGCCTGAGTCAAGAGAGTCAAAAGACAGTTTCTCTGGGTAAACAGAACGTTAATACTTACACACAACTGAATGTAGCTGATTGAAGACAGATAATGAGAAAGGGAAGTTTAATACTGAGAAATAAAAATAAAAATAAAAATAACGTGTAACCAGAAAGTGTTTGTTTTCATTTCAGCAGATACTTCCAGAGGAGCAGATCTCAGATCAAACAAGTACAACGTGGTGATGATTGGAGACAGCAGTGTGGGCAAAACCTCTTTCATGAAAAGAGCTCAAAGTGGGAAGTTTTCTTTAGATTTACCTGCATCTGTTGGTAAGATCCTGATCTTTATCCCACTTTATTCCCCTCAAGTATGTATAAATATACAGAATAATGTAACATAAATATATTTTTTAGGACTTGATTCCTGCGTGTGGACTGTGCTAGTGGATGGAAAACCTGTGGTGCTACAGTTGTGGGATACAGCAGGTCAAGAAAGGTAAGTTTCCGTTGACCGTACATTACTGAGACACCAATTATCGCTGTCTTAATCAAACATATGAACTACAGGTGAAACCAATTTGTATTGCAGAGAATAAATATGAGTGATCCCAGTTATGTTATCAATTTTAGGAGTATCATAAAAAATGGGACATCAAAGATACAGTGGGCAATTTATTAGGATAGGACCGAAGCCTAAGGTTGTAAACTTTTCCCATGCTAGAATTCATGTCATCTTTCACATTTCATCTCACCTCATCTTAAAAAGTCCAGCCAAAAAATAAATAGGGGTGTTAAATCAAACACTACATTCAACATTAAAAATAACTATTTAGATGTTTTGAGGCCCCCTTAATCTGTCTCTGTTGAGGTACAGTACTTAAGGTCAATCTTGAAGTCACCATAAAAGAAGAAAAAATCCAATTGCTAGCTTTGTGTGCCTCATGACGAACATCTTGAAGCACTTTATGATGACTGGTGTTGTTGGTAGAGGCCAGCTGTTGCAGACGCACTTTTTTGGTATTTTGATAATAAAGGCCACAAGCTGAAAGATGTCTGTAAGGACGTCTAAAAGCTGACCCGATCATTCCCTGATTATATGACGAGGTGCACTGTCTGCCTGCCTGATGACTGCTGTGGGTAGGAGTAGTACCTAGTTATTGGTAGGAGGGAAGGTAATAGGCATCACCAAAAAGTACAGGGTGTGATTATGTGGTTTATGCTGGCCTGGATTTTGTGCCACCTGCACTATGTGTTCTTTTTATTCCTGGAAGTGGAGTACTGATGCATGTTGCCAATCTGGTGGCTCAGCACATGTTGTCTCTGTCCTGAGGGTTTGCTTTCCACCCAATCTGAAGGTAGCATCCTGGGTCCTGATGCACAGTCAGCCAAGGCTTCTGATGAGCATGTATGACGATGCTTACATAAGTAACATACTCTATCCACTTGCTATTGTAGCCAGCCAAAGACATTTTAAGTATGAGAGACCCCAAGCAGCAGCTTTCCTAAACATGTTGCTCAAAGCACTCTCAGTGTGTTGAGTCTCCTTCAGGCCAGGTTGTAACCTGTTTCAAAAGTGGTTTGGCACACCTCAGCAACGTAAAAAAAGTCTTTGTCACATGTCTGTGTGTTGGTTGAGGTATTCAGATTATAATAAAAAAGGGCTTTTGGGAAGTGCAGTTAATGTCAGCACTGAGATGTACACAAAAAATTACCGTTTGTCAATTAAACTCATTTTAACCCAGTGCAAGATCGATTTTATTTTATTTTTTGCTATAAGCTGATATGGATTCATATTTAGCATAAAAGCCCCACAACACAGATAAAGAAACAATAATAATAAAAGACGAATTAGACTAGGGTTTAAAATATAATAATTCATTTGACTTGATTGCAGAGGCAATTGAGCAATCACTGTGTTCACATCATCAGTATTTTCAGGACAGATTGAATGCGTCTCTTGAGAAAAGCTTCAGGGGACTCCCTCCAAACTCAACTAACCAGTATCATTAGACTCTTAGAAGCACACATTCTACCTTTGGGGGTGTGAAGTCATGCCAGGGTGTTTCATTTGGGATGTTCACTTTTAAATGGCTGTGAGAAAAGTAATTAAATTGTTGTGTTGTGTAAAGTTAGTGGCTTCAAACCACTAATGACATTCTTTATTTCCCTTCAAAGGTTTCACAGCCTCACAAGACAGATTTTACATAAAGCCCAGGCATTTCTCTTGATGTATGACATCACTTCCTCTCAGAGTTTCTCTGCAGTCAGCTACTGGGCAACATGTATTCAGGTATGGTTCACTTAAAGCTTCAGTGGCTGTTTAAATGTTTTTATTTATGGTACTGTAAAGTTGCAAACAAAATGTTTATATGCATGTGTAATTTGTGTTTTTGTTATACTGGGTATTGTTTGTACTGATGACAGTGCAATACTTTGTTACTAAAAATTGGAAATATCTGATCAAAGAAAAAGTAAACAAGTGTAAAAATCTCACCAGGCATTTGTTGCCACTGCTAGAGAACTTCCTCTGATGTGACATAAGTATAGCTTACCTCAAGAACCTAATCTGAATATGGTCTAAACTAAAAAAATATATTTACTGAAGAACTGCACTTAAACATAGTACAAGGAGTTTTTGACTGGTTATGAAACAGTTTCAGTTTAATATGGCTGCCTCTATATGACCTACTTAAACAAACAAGTCAGTGAGATGTTTGGCCAATTCTATGTTGTTGTTCTTAATTTTGTTAATCTTGTTTGTTGTGTTCTAGATACTTTGCAGAGTCAAATTATTAATACAAAACATGAGAATTAATACATTTAGTATTTTTATAGATGAAGCAGTATATAAAGTAGTGATTAAAGAGCAACATTAAATTGATGTACACATTAATGCATCAATAATTATAATCCAATAATTGATTTCATTATTGAATTTAATAAATTATGCATAATGTACTTTTGGTATCGACAGCACTTCCAATTCCATTCCAATACTGATATATGTTAATGGTTATCATATTCAATGCACGCTTATTTATTTTTAGACAAAATGAAACTAGGATTTAGAGTACATACGGTCAGATTAGCCTGTAGAAAGATGTCTGAATGGCAATCCAAACAAACTAATCTATGTTTTGCAGGAAGGGGCTGCAGAAAACACGACCATTTTACTTCTTGGGAACAAGAGTGATCACGCAGAACGCCGAGTTCAAACTAAGGAAGCAGAAATTCTTGCTAAGGTACTGCTCTTTGGCTTTACTTCCTCTTGCACTGTTAGCTCATCTAGTGATGGCTGTATTTAACTAAATCATTCACTCACTTCCACAGGAGTACAACTTTGAATTCATGGAGTGCAGCGCTGCCACAGGTGAAAATGTGGTTCAGTCTTTGGAAACCGTGGCCAGGTAAGCAACATTTGACATCTGTAACTTACTTTATCTTGTCTCATCTATCTCACCCATGGGGGATTTGTCTTACAGCATGCTCTTTAATATTCTTCTTACACTGGTTGTTTTGTTGCCAGGATGTTGAGTCAAAATGCTGACACAAGAGAAGAAACCACGGTGTTACACAGAGAGCCCAAACAGAAAAAAAAATCAGGATGTTGCTGAAAAGATGTGGGTCAAAAGCCTCTGTGGCTGCACATGGAAAGTTTTTTATGTACATTATAACTACATCTGATACTGATCTTTGGTTCTTGTAATCAGTTTGATTGTAAAAGGTCTTCATTTACACAGATGTATATGTTAATTTCCTTTGCACAATTACCTTTAGCTGTTATTTCTAACAAGTAAATGATTGATCTTGGGGACAATATACAGTAGAGAACAGTTAAAGAGTAAGTCCTGTAGTTGCATAAAATATACTTGTTAAAATGGAGCATTTTAGTGGAAGAGGAAGCCCCAGAGGGGATTCTGATGTATATTTACTGCATACCTTCATGTTTATATAATACTGTAAAGCTGGTGCAGGCTTTCTGTGGTGGCGGGTCAGTTGTTAGCGATCAAAGAAATAGTTATACATGACTAATCTTTTGCATTTTGCACTGTTTGTTTTAACGTAACAGATTGATTTTCCTTCTGTAATATAAAAGCCTTACTATTCTTGTGCAATTTCAAATGATCACATCAAGTCAATATTTGTAGAGTACACACTGTAATAATTAATCTGAGATACCAATGTTTTAGTACTTAAGCACTTTCAGTTCAGAACCGTTTCTCAGGTCCTTAGTTAAAAAAAAAAAAAACATAATAACTATATTGTAAAATATTGAGTATTTGTTCGACTGTTTCTAATTTCACTTTTATTATATAAATATATATTAAAAGTAGTATGCATATATCTTTAAACTTATGAATCTATAACTATGGACAGGCAAGTAACCTTTTGGAAGCTACAAAACATGGTACCAAACTGTGGTAACTCTACTAAATTATGAGTATATTTATATCATAAATATTCCTATATTTCTAATGTGAAATGTATTATGAGCATGTACTATGAACATGATCATGTTTTAATCTTTGTAGCTGTTTAGCACACAGTTATTCAATAATTACATAAAGTGTATTGTGATTTTCTATGTTCAACATCTGTTTTAAATGAACTGTGTTGGCACTCGTCCTACTTTCAGTGTGTCACACTGCTGCCAGGAAGGTCAGATCATCATAAATACATTTCCTGCCTCTATAAATAAAGACAGTGATGGTGACAGACTAAACAGGCTTTATATAAACTGTACATATAAAATTATCTGTGCATGTCCCTATAACTTGTGTCGCTAAATACCAAACTGTTCTGTTATGTCTCAGCGTAATAAACCTCCAGAACAACAACTGCATGCTCTCCAAGTTAATTTGTGTCCTTGTGGAAGTTGTGTGTTTCCACACTGACAAAGACAACAGTGTTCCCACTGGGACAACAAGTCCTTCACTGGTATGAAGAGCATGACAACAATGGCGCCACTGCAATAACCTCATAACATCCCAAAGGAGCTTTTGTGGCAAACAAACGATGTGACAGCATCTTCCAACATCATCGGTGGACGATTACATTATTAATATTAGTGACTGGCTCTGACTACACTAACTACATTTAACAGGAGAATTAGTCCTCCTGGCCGCAGTTATTCAGATCGTTGTTTTAGGCTGGGCCATGTAAACTTTGTTATTCTGTTAAACAACAATCCCTACTTTTTTTTTTTTTTTTTAACCAGTCTGCAATAACAGAATACTTTCCAAGAAGTTTCCTGGAAAGAACAGTTATTTGGTACAAAGTGCAGAGACAGTGTTCAATCAGTAAACTTCCAATTAATAGCTGCTGTAGAGGCTTCTCAAATCTGTCTACAGACAAGCATACAATCCAACATTTATATAAGAATAAAGTTTCCAATAATCAATGTATTATGTATCATTATTGTATCGAATGATTTAGCATCAAATTACCAGGAAACCTCCCAAGAAATTATGAGGAAATTACAGACCTGTAACATAACGTTTGAATGGGTTACGGCAAAAGGTTATTGGTACAGTTTTATTTTCTCAACCAGGTGTACTGAACATTGTTAAAGTTTCTATTGGGGTCATCATTTCTTTCTCCTGTATTACAGACAGACAATCTATTACTATTCACTGTGAGAAACTGTCTGGCAGCTGTCGGTTAAGTTGTTTTTTTGTGACAAAAACACTCGACCACAGCAGCGGACAGAAAGTTCTTAAACAGGTTAACAGGATATGTCTGGTTAGTTTCATACATCACGACAAAACAATGCCAGAAAAGAAATTTTGACCTTTTGTCACTTGGGGGAGTAAGTGTGCTAACAAATTAGCTGCATCATCTCATCTACAGACCTTAAGGAGTGTTGATTTAAACCTGCTACAAGGAGTTTTAAACTGGTTATGAAACAGTCTCAATTTAATACTGATGCCTCTATATGGCCTACATAAGCACACCAGGGAGCAGACTGGGTGTTTCTATGTATTTATTCTTGCTGCTGCTTCAACTCCACCTGTCATACAAAAACCTCCGTATGTGGCACCAACCACTTTGTACTAATGCACCGTTTGATCCCTCGTTTACAGACACTGAAATAACTACTAAACTAACGGTAACAACAGACACCTTAAAACTCTTTTCAGTTTATTTAATGATAAAAATAAACCACTTTCATTTTAAGATTCTGAGAATAAGTTGATGTTACCTGCACATTTAACGAAGGTGAAAACGTTGGAACATTCATACGAGATTTTTGTAGCTAGAGAGAAGTTTGCAAAAGAATAATGTCATGAATTGTGTCCAATTTTCGAAGCAACCACGATCTGGTCACTGTTGAGCAGTTCTGTTTTTGTAAGATGTTTGGGATCAAAAAGTTATTTAATTCCACCTTCTGCTGCTGCTTCATTGTAGGTTTCAGTTTTTTTACCAACTGTCTCCTCAGGTAGTTGTAATGCTGGGTCCTTGATCTTTGTGTGGGTTTCCTTTCTCTTTTTTTTGGAGGAGTGGTATTGTCTGATGGCCTGCTTAACATCTGAAGCAGTCCAGTGGTGATGGGTCAGGGCGTCCTGCAGGGTGAAGGGGCCGTCTCTGGTCCGTCTAACTCCTTTACACACTGCAGTGCTGCGCAGCTCGAGTCCTATCTCATGCACAACTTTGCGCAAATATTTCTGAGTTTCATTCAGACACTGCACCTCTGTAAGAACAGAGAAAAGAAAATATCAGACAGGATCTGTACGTATCCTGAAAATATATTTTGAAATTGAAATATTAAATTGTGAAATGAGGATTTCTGTGTGTTCAAGATTATTTACCTAAAGTGAAGTTGGGGGGCTGGAAGCGAATGCAACGCAGGCCTGTCAAAATAGGTGTCGATTTCCCGTCTGGACCCAGTAGACCTTGAGCAGCCATCTCGTAGGCTTCCTGTGAGCGCATGTCTACATTGGAATACCTGTATAGTAAAAATAAACAGTCATCTAGCTGCAGTGGGAATACTTATTTAGCACTTTACTGTGGCCCCACTAAAAAGCCCTTTATGGACTGATGTGTTACATGTACAGGAGGTCTTATTGAAAAGTAAATCACAGAGGGTTAAGAGGAACTGAAGAGCCAAAAATGACCATATTATGTTTAGAGAAATGAAATGAATATTCAGTGTCATTAGCATACAATAACAAGGCCTTCTGATTGACTCCCTGCAGCATCGCCAAGACTCTGTCCAGCTTATCCTGCGTGATGTGACCTGTTGAACACAGCAATGTTTTAGGGTCGGATACAGTCAAAGGCACAATCACTGGTGCTTCAGTTTTGTTTGGCTGGTGATTAATACATGATGTGTCATGTACATAGTTACAAATAATGAATGGTAGACAGATACAAACGAATAGAAAATCTAAAAATATGACATATTTGTATTACAGAGTGAATGGCTTTAAGACAATATTATTGTAAATCATTAGTGAGCTTTGTAACCAATTATTTCAAGTGTCTTTGGATATAATACTCCTTCTCAAATGTAAAGACATAAAACTGTTATCAAGTGAATAAACTGATGAAACTGATCACAAATAGAAAGAAAAACTGAGATATATTACCGAACGTGGACCTTTCCACAACTCTGCCTGTGTGAGAGAAATCATCTGTTGCAGTCCCAAATTCACCCTCCAATGTGTAATCCTGAAACATATCAAACAGCATTAAAGATATTTTATATTCACTGTATCTTTGTACATGTGAGGAAACACCAGCAGAAATGATCAAATACCCTTGTGACTCTTGTTGTGTATGCTCTAAGATCATTCAGGGCCCTGTTTCCATTCCCAACAGCTAGAACTAAAGTAAAACAAATAAAAAAGAGACTTAATGTATTTGAATACAACATGATGTGAAGCAAATGGATTGTCTAATGAGATCAGCTCTTAAATAATTATACCTAGAACACCAGAGGAGGGTGCATCCAGGCGATGTCCTACTCCAACTTTAATATGCTGGAATTCAGGTCCAGTCACTAATACAAACAGAAAATATACATTTAATCATTCATATATGCTCCTCAATGGGCACAGACACAAATGCATTTGAATATCATTCAGTCATTGCAGCGAATGCAAACCTGCACAGACTTTACATGTAGTCAAAATGTGGAGTGAGAACTAAATTAAAATCAGCTTGAATATTTTGACTTGTCAAACAATCACATGTCTTGAGTAAGTAAACTACAAATGGAATTAATAATTAACAAGAGGTTATTATCAGAGTCTCTGCTTAGAGCCGACGGCCTTACATGGGGCTTTGAAGATATGAAAGAAAACTGTTATTCAAGGAAGATACATCGGGTGGTGATGTAGATAGATAGATACTTTATTTATCCCGAGGGAAGGTTCATGTGTATGAACGGGTGACCCAGGAGTGGACACACATACCCAGAGGATGCTCGGACAGCACTGGCACAGAGACTGCAGACAGTGTGAGTCCCTTGGGTGCTTCAGTCTCACTCACTGGGTGTGCCAAGAAGCGGACCTCCTGTGGAAGTGGTTGGGGCGGTGTAGCATTTAAACCTGTAATGTAACACACACAGAGGTCAACGGGGTGCAGTGATTTACTTCGAGTCAAGGTAAAATGGCTGCACCATGCCTCACTGTCAGCAGATAGAGAATAGATAGATAGAATTATAACTGCAAGGATCAAGTTTTAGGGATGTGTTATCCTCACCTTTCAGAAGAGTTGTCTCGATGCTATCCCGCACCAGTTTCCAGTGGACACCAGAGGGCTTGTACACACAGAACAGACCCTCTAACCCCCGAAACATCCGAATAGCTCGAGT